CTCTTTCCATTATCCCTCTTTCAGGGACGGGGAAGAGGATGAATGATTTTCTACACAAACACGGGAGTGGGAGGACTTCAAATTAAGCCAGGTGACTAATCCTTGCTAAGAGAAATCCTAGACGTTTTTCTGAAGAGCGGGTTACTATTAGTACTCCTTTTCCAATTAAGCACAACTGATTTCTTTTATAGGGCATTCTTAGAAGGAAGTAAAAAGACTGTTTACAGCCTCAGCATGAATCAGGTGAACTTTTGAACCCGAACCTCTACCCAATTGACTAAAACTGGTCAATACCTATGTTGAAAGTTTAGTCATATTATTAAAGGAAAAACAGCACATTAAAAAAATCTCCTAGTATATATGATACATATACGCAGCCAAGACCTTTGAGAACCTCCATTACTTCCCTGATATTATTCATTCAAACTACTCCTGTATGAATTTTTGTTTATGATCCAGTTGAAATTCCTTTGAAGATAATATGGATGTCCTAGAGGTGTTAAAATATCAGAACATTCTGATCTAGCATGCAATACAAATTTATTTTCTCTTTCTCTCTGTTCAGCTATCCACAGGTTAACAGAGGAAAACCAGCCCAAGGTTAGCACACCAGCTCAGGATTTGCAAGATTCAGAAATAGGTCAGCTTTCATTTAAAAATAAAAGTTACCATTCTTCTTTCCATGAATGTTTAATGAAGGACGTGGTCTATTTTGAGCACGTCTATTTTCCCTCTGGTGGCTGTGCCCAAGTTCCAGCCCCAGGCCACCACTGTATAGAGACCCAAGACTGCTGTGCCTACCCATCCCACGGGTGGCACGTAATGACTCCCCCCTGCCAGGAATTCTGCACACACATTAAGATGGCATCAGCTGGCCTTGCTCTTCCCCCAGTACACCCGCCTCCTCCACCCCACACTTATGTACAATCAGTTGCATAGCCAACAGCATTCAAGACGATGATATAGAGGCTGAAAAACAACTTATTTTAAATTATTATGGTTCTTTATTTTTTCACCAGTCCTGGCCAGTTCCCTTGTCTGCTTCATTCCCAGCAGCACAAACATCTCTGTCAGTACAAGCAAGAGAGGCAAGGGAGGAGAACCTGAACGCACAGAAACAAACTTTCACAACAATTGGGTGTGATTATGCTGTGGGAACAATTAGTGCTTGGGATTATTCCTGGGAAACAGCAGACACTTCACTACATCCTCTGGAGTGCAACTCCATCATAACGGTCTGCACGGGACACTTCGTGTGTAGCTTATTACAGTAGGAATACAAAAGCAAAGGGCTCAGCTCAGGCAAATGAGTCACCGTCTTCAGTGCCAGCATGTACATAGGCTCACAAGCACACAAATTCTAGTTTTCCTTTTACAAATGCAAATCTGCAATATGCACACGCCCTGACCTCTGCATGCATTTCAGAACATTGTTTCCTCTGAAACAGAGAGGAAAAATACTTCAGAGATATTACAAAAGAAAGCGCAAAAAACCTACAAAAGAGTTCTTATTTGTCACTTCAAACATCAGGCAGCATAATAGCAGGTGACTTTGAAAGGCGTGCGGACATAGATAATTTACTGGACCTAGGTAACGCACGAGAGAAAAATCTCAAAAGGCATACGCTAGAGGGTGATAGGTTTGTGCATTTGTTGCCAGGTTGAGATAAGGCTGAAGCACATTACAGAGAGACCTGAAGACAGATACTTACCCAGGTCTTGCTCTTGCTTCTCAGTCACATTGGAGCCTGGGATACACACAGCTGTCACTTTTTGCTCTGACCAGCTTTGGCACTTTGGTTCTGCAATTGTCTTCAAACTCCACACAACACATTATGGTGCTGCAGTCTGCATGCTGCAGAGCACTGCTTTCAGCCCAAATCCAAAACACAGCCCCGTACCAGCTACTATGAAGAAAACTAACTCTATCCCAGCCAAAAACAGCACATCTGCCTAAGTCGTCCCCAGAAACTCTTTGCAAGAGGTGTTTCCACTGAGGTATCGCTGGACTACATTGAATGATGCCAATGAGGCACAAAAGCCTGCTCCTGTTTGACGTGACCCACCTTCACAGTGAGCTGTCTTTCCTCTGGGCTGACACCTTTCTAGCAGAGAAGCACAGCATATAAAAGCATAGGAAAAACAAGTCAACGGAAATAATCGCCTTTACCTTTAAGAAAATAGATTTTACAATCTCTAAGAAGAAATAAGGTAAGAGAAGAGGCCGCACTACTTACAAATGTCCACACGTTGCTGTGCAACTGTGCCAAAGGATAGCACGGAATACATAGACTTCAGAAATATTCCTATTTTTGACCTGTGGTGAAGAGGCCCGGAAATTTAGCTCTCACTTCCAGTGTTACCAGTGGGATTAGAAAGTCAGAGATTCCCCTGCTATTTCTGCAATATCTTCTTCTCCTTTATTCCCAATGAGTCAAACCCAGTTTTGTATTCAGCAAGAACTTCATCAAGAACCAAAGTTAATTCACACAAACAGGAACTGTCCTGAGTGATTTACTGAATAACTTGACTCCAGAAAAACTATCCAAGTCTTTAAAACCTTGCCTATCAACTCAGGCCAAGGAAATGGCCCAGAGACAATCTGCCCTCTGACCCTTAACAACTACACCTATCTCCTCTTTTATTCCTGGTCACACGGCATCATGGCAACAAGGATGGTGTGAAGAGAGAAAAGGTGGCCTGAGATGGTTTTGGTTTTCATGACAGGAAAATGGCAGTGCTCGTCAGCACCTCCTCCCCACCTGCACCATCTCTCTCTCTCTCTCTCTTCTCTCTCTCTCTCCACCTAAAAGCTTGTCAAAATCTAACCCAAAGAAAAGCAAACAATCCCCGAAAGAGGTGCTCTGCACAGAGGCCTTGACCAAGAAGCACGAGCCAAAGGGAGAAAGGAAACTATGGAAGAGTGGAGAGATGACGCCTTCCCCCACGACACCAGTGCACAGTTTCAAAGGTGCTATTGCCTTCTGGAGCTACACAAGCCAGGAAAGCAGAGGACCGGACCGGCACGGCACAGGCGCAAGGGGCACGTTGGCATCTGCTCTCACCACGGCAGCGCAGGCACAGCAAGCCATCGCCACGAACACCTTCACAGCCAGCTTCCTTTGCCTCCTTGCAGCCACGTTTCTCATTGCAGACTGTTTCTCATTCAGCCACTGGGGAGCAAAGAAAAACACCTCCCTTGCCTCCTTAGGCATGCTCATGGCGTGCTCTCAACAGCTTTTACACTGCTTGAGGTACACGGGAATCCACTTGGGGGGGGAGAAGAAGCACCTGCACACCCGTCGCCCTAAGCACTCCCCGCAAGAGCCCGTAGCCACGATCAAATCCGTCCTGCGGGCTGGTCTAGAGTCACCACTGATCTGCAGCTACCCTTTCTGCAACGCCAGGGCGGCTCTGGCTTCACCTTCACCCACCCGTTCGGTACCTGAGGCAAAAAGGAGCCGGGGACAGCAATCCCCCAGGGGCCTTCCCGTCCTCAGACCCAAAACCCCACCTCCAGGCCCCAAGCACCTCGGTGGCCCTACAACGCGCTCCTCCCGGCGCCCCTGCGCAGCAGCCCGCAGGACGCCAGGCCCTCTCCTCCCCTCTGCCCCTCTCTGCTACTGGCGGCTGCGGGGACGATGCCACTTGCAGGGAGCCCAGCGCTTGCAGGGCAATGCGGCCTCCCCGACCCTCCTGGGACACTGTGGCCACTGGTCCCTTCAGGGGACCCCAGGCCCGGCACGAGGAGGGGGCTGGAGCCCAGGGCACACAAGGGGAGCTGGGGGGCAGGCCCGCTGCCCCAGGGACAGCCCTTCTCTCTGACGACCAAAATGGCCCCCCGCAACGGGGCCTTCAGGGCCTCAGGGGCCCCCGTCCCACCCACAGCAGCGGCTGTTGGTGACGTCACCAGCCTTCCATTGCACAAGCAGGCACCCCTGCGGCTGGCCCCCAGCTCCCCGGGCACCTCGCCCCTCT